ACTATTTCCTGGCATTGAAAATCTGCTTCTGTAGTTTGAAAAGTTACTAGCAGAAAAAGAAACAAAAAAAAAAGATACAAGTTAAGTTAGTTGTTGGTTCAGTCAATAAGCTAACCAAACATGTTCTATCAATGGCTAGAAAATGGCCTTATTCCTTTTCAGTGGCAAGAACATATTAAATTACACTGTAAGATTGGAAGAGAACGTAGAGGGTGTGCACTCTTGGAATGAATTCAGACTAAAATAAATATAGTCATTCAGCCTGCCCTTCGTCTAAAAACAAGGGAGTTGAGTCCTTTCCTTGATTTGATCAATAACATGATTTTATATATTTACACAGAGAGACCTTAACTTCATCTCAAGATTACAAGTACTATTACATCAGTTTCTTAATGTAATAATGTCATGGTTAGTATGTCTAAAGACTAAGTTAAAAGTCCTTTGTTTTAGAGGTAGAATGATTCGGACAAGCACTAAAGGTCCTGTTCAGTACATTCCGTTCATACGACGTTAACCAACTTAAACCAAGTATTTTAGTAGAGGTTGAATTGCCTGATCCTGAATTAAAGAAAACAACAAAAAAACTCTCTAAACACCAGGAATTTATGCAACATTAGAAGATTAGTACTGGTAAATAAAAAAATTGCAGCTAAAATTGTGGTGGATATTGGCTGTATTAACTAATTGTCCATGTAAAGAAATAGAAGTAATCAAAAGAGATCAGAGAAAAAGTGGTATATCAAAATTATTTGCAGACTGTCAAACCTTTTGAGTATGTAAAATTGGGATAAGTTTTAATCACTGAGGAATCACATGAGTGTTAATTGGTATCTTGATGCTCTGAAAAGCCATTTCCAGTGTTCTGAGGGGACAATTTTGTCTTAAATGTTCGCTAATTATAAATCGCACAAATCGATTGCAATTTTTTTTGTTTATTTTTATTTGCTTGTTTATACGAACAAATACTTGATTTTCATTTTTAGTTTGTGTTTTTTTTTTAAGTTTTCTGGACATCAATTTTGTTCAAGTATACTGTGTTAGGAGTTCATAATGATAGAGTATCATAAGATTTCATTAAAAAATATCAGAAAAGATGTCAATATCAGGATTTTTCCTATCTCAATCACATATTGGCTGAAATTCAGGATTTTCAAGCAAAATCCAGAGAATCCTGAAGAAATTAGAATGGTCGGACAGTCTATATTATTTTAGTATATCAATTATTATGGTACTCACTGTGTCCATGTTGTAGGCAAAGTCACCTGAAAAGAAAACAAATAAAACTCATTATTTCTTGATTATTCAAAACTTAACCTAATTTCCTTTCCCCAACTAAACTCTGATCTCTTAGTAATTATTATAAAGTATGGCAATTTTTTAAATACTGTTCACTGCGGTCAATGTGGCAATAATGGGACAAAGACGGTCAAAGAAGTGCATCTAAAAAAAGAACTATGAAATAAACTAAATAGAAATTAAGCTCACCAACATGAAGAATGCCATCAAAGTGTCCCATCTGAGTTTCTTCTTGCAAGTAGCTTAATGATTTAGCGTTAACACTGCCCAGATCTCCAAACACAGCCAATCTAGGGCTCCAATCCACACCAGACTTAAAGGTTTTGAATGAAAACAATGCACTCCAGCCATCCCATCCACCACAGTGGTAATCTACATATAAAAATTCCAGTAAACAAGTTAATAAAAGTGTGAACAATGAAAAAATAAATTCAGACTTAAAATATATATGATTTTAGTAGTTGGCACATTCACAAAGCAAGCTCTTTGTCTACCATATCCCTGACCTGATTGGAATTCAGAAATGATTTGGCGTGGGGAGGGAAGCCAGGGAGTCGAGACCCAACAAACAGCATGACACAAGAGATGCCTCCGGGATTTGAATATGGACCGCATACTGTCATAAAATCATGCATAAATTAAATTAAATTAAATTTTAATGAGTTGTGAGAGGCAGAAAAAACTCACATCATTCTGACATATTTTTCACAACTTTTTGCAACAGTTTCTAACAAACGATAATTGAATTAAGTATCCCATGAAGCATGATATCAGGATAGATCACCCTACAAAAGTTTGGGAAGATTTCAGTGTGAAAAAAAAACAAAACAAAATAGTAAGTGTCCAAGAGCACAGTCTTATTGTTATAAAATCCTTTCTAACTTAGAAGTCTCATGCAAAACCTTTACTAAAGTGTGGACCAAAAGGGGTGTTCTTGTTTCCCCTTCACAACTAAATTCCTACAATTCAGAGAAACCGTTCCTGGATGCCCCCTTCAACCTGCCAATAAAATACTGGATCTCTCCTTTCCCTTTTCTTGGCATGGTCTTTATTCAGGACCTCAACGAGTTAAGAAGAATTTAAATAAATTCAGATAATCTGGTACCCACCATAAACCTGGTCATAGGCCAGTCCTGTCAGTTTCACCCGGTGCATGTACAAGACGCGATGCTGTGAACCACCATCTGTGAACTTCGTGACAGCGCCTGTAGCACGCAGTGTTAAAGGAAAACCACCTTTATTGTACTCCACTATAGAATAGTTTGTCAAGGTTAACGTGACCCATGTTACCATCATCTCTGTGGGGTCTCCTAAAGTAATGGTGACAAGAAAAGTTAATTAATGTCGTACATGCATGCATGTATCATGTCATGCTAAGAATGTATAGCCTGCAAGAGCCAACTATGTAGTCATGTGCCATCAACAGGCAGAATAAGATCATCTGGGAGTATGTAGTCTGAATAAGAGTTGACGTTTCAGCAACCTGTTGGTAGACATCGTCATTGTCAAGTGAGTTGTGTATAATCCAGTTTCAAATTAAAATTATCTCTGAATACAAACATTAAAAACAAAATCATACAGTGTTAGACTTGACATAAAGTTAAATATTCACGAATTCCAGCAAGCGTTTGAAAATTGAAGAATACACAATAGACAGAGTAATAAGCAGGTCTTCTTCTCGTTGGAATTGATGAATATATTTACCACAGAGGAGGCTAAGCCTGGAAAAAATATCTTCACTTCTCTTATTCAGCAGTCATAGAAAACTTGAAACTGGCATTATTGTCAAAACTGACAGTTTTAAACTCTGGGCCAGTTGTTCAAACTAATCAAAGGCTGATTAGCACTAACCAGGGGTTAAATTTTCCTCCCAGTATCCTTTTCTTTTGTTCAAAAGCAAGTTCTTGGATAATTTTCTGTACTCTTTTTAGAGCATCCTTCATCAAATTGTGGACAAAAAGAATAAAATCTTAATTTACTTGTTAAACCTTCAAAATTTGAATTCAAATTTTGCTTTGCACTAATCTTAACACAGCCTTGATCAACCCAGCCCTGTTTATAAAGCAGCCATGAGATGATGCTAGAATTTTCATTGATGTCTGCAGACCCACAAGATCACTCAATCTGGGATTGAAAGTTTTCAAAATTAGCCTTCAGTGGATAAGTGTTTTCCTCGTACAGTCTTTGAAGGAACTAATTCGAAATCTACGTCTTAATACAAACTTAAATATTTATGAACTGGACAGAAACGAACTAAACATTTCAAGAAACTAAAAGACTGGGCACTCAATACCCAACTCTTATATGAAATTTTCATACGCGTTATGTAATGTTTAATTTTTAGTCACATAGTTTTGAAGTCACATGAAAGATAAAACGGTTAAAGGCAGCTTTTCACTTTTTTGTTTTCTAACCTGAACAAGGTCAATAAGCAGAGAAAAGAATGTAAGATTCCTGGTTAGTATGCATAGAGAAACCAAATTAATGGCCGGGTGCAGGCGTCACGTCATAAACAGCGTCGTTAAAAACAGTCGACTTTCTTGTTTGATCACCTTACCTGTACTTGCAAGATGGATCTGTTGCGGCTGAGGATCATCGCCATAACAATTATTAAGAAATAAAAGCAAAACAGAGCACATGCATTGCCGCACGATTGAAGCCATTGCGCTCAGCTTGCAGTCGGAAAACTTTCCTTCGGCAGCGGTGTCCGAGTCACGTGAAATGCATCTGACAGATCATGCTATCGCGCGTCGCGCGCGCGCACAAAAACATCACGCGATCATCCCATTTTTGTGCACAGGGTATGGCGAACCTTTTTATTCTTGTTCGTTCGACTGACTGTATTCTGGATTAACCAAAAAATATAAAATTTAAAATTATTGAGCCGTGGGAAATTTTTGAATGACTGGGGCATTCGAAACTGATTGGCGACCTGGAGTGTCTTGTTTTAGGTTTGTGATTCTGTTTGGGCTTTCTGTTTCTATTTTGGGGTTTCGTGTTTTTGTCTTGTGGTTTTGTGTTTTGGGTTTGTTCCTATCGGCCGTTGTATTACCTAATGACATCACTACACACAAACTTTCGGTGAAGATCAAAGCGCTTCTCCCTAAATCCGGGGACTTTAAAATGTCAGCAACATCAGTCAAACGCGCGCGAAACGTGTTAACAGTGGCAAATAAACCTGACAATTAATCACCTCACGCCCTGTCTGTTCATCAAATCATTATTCCGCAAGAAACGTACGTGATTCTAGTTAAACTACAACGACGAGATTTGTTACAGTAAACAGTCACAAACGAAGAAAATCTCATTTTCTCTTAACGGTCACTAAACGTAAACAAAATTAACTCAAAATTAAAGAGTCAATTTTGCTCAAAATTTTCAACATGGCCAACTCTTTTCACTCCCTTGTTAACAGATTTACAGGCTCTCTGGTTGTCTTGTTTAGGAAAAAGCAAGTACGACGCCATACTCAATCGTATCAATACAAAGACAAAATTAATACAAAACACAGGTCTAAATTTATACAAATCGATTTATTTCTCTTCTTCAAACCAGTTGTTATAAAAGTACTATGATTTTCAAGCCTGCCAAGGTGCTCTATTATAGACGAAAGAGTGTTCCGTCTTGTTATAGTGAAAGCAATTCTAGAAAATGAGACTGATGGTGTAAAAAAAGATAACTTAACACAAGCAGCAGTGTATAGCCTAAGCGTGCATAGAGATTGTCCATTCCTGAGCTATGTTGACCGCGGGTTTCTTAATGGTCATGGAGTTTGTGGAACTGTCATGTTTAAATTGAAGATGTCTTGTTTCACCACCTAGCACAAAACAAACAAGACACAGCGGTTAACGGTAAACAATATCACAGGTTTAGAAAGGTTTTAAAAGAGCTTTTATGAACCGAGTAACATATGTACTACCCTGCTAATAAGCAATTTCCGAGTTCCCCCAGGCCTCTGTTGCAAAACGAGGGTAGGTGCTCAGCCTTTGATACGGAAATCATTTTTCATTCTCATGCAAATAAAACTCATTTTCACAGGTAAGGTTGTGCACCTAGCCTCATTTTGAAGGTGAGGGTTTTTGGAACTCGGAAATGTCCTATTCACGGGAGAGCGACACCCAAAAGGAGACGTGTACCGCTTATATCTCCACCCGAAAATCACCATTTTCACATAGACTAGTATGTACCTTGTTTACCCCCCAAAATTTTGCAATAACCACTGTCTTCAATTTTTCCTGGAGAAATTGGAAACAACGGTTTTGTAAACTATTGTGGAGTAAACAAGGTGCATCATGGTCTATGTAAAAATGGTGAATGCGGGCTACAAACAACCTCGTCCCCAGGGATTTTCCCTAAAAAACTGGATGGGGCGGAAAAGCCCTGGGGACGAGGTTGCGCTACAAAGAGGCCGTTTTGCGGTTGTGTGGTTAGTGTGCTAGCCTTTAAATGGAACCGAAGCTTGAGCCAGAACTGACCTTGTTCTCTGAGAAACCTTCCTCCTTTTCGTGTGCAAATCGTGTACAAAGATAAAAAACAAAAACAGAAAGGTTTGTAACAGAATAAGGTCACCTGCAGCCTCGCTTTCATTCAAAGGCTAGGGCACTCAGCACACAACTGTAAAATAGCCTATAACAACAGAAGCAAACAAAGGCAAGGGTATACGGGGCATTTATTTGCTAGTTTGGCTGATGGAAGCGCAGCTTTTTTGGGAAAGTGAACCGGTTACGAGAGCGAGGCTGCCTCGTACCCAGACGTCTCTCTCTCTCATTTTTCTCCTTCCCGTGGTCCCTTGCGCTTCATCACCAGTCACTAGCGTGCCACTCGCGTTTCGCGCTCACCTCTGCGAAAAACGAAGCGCCTAAGGAGGAGGCAGAGATCGAGGGGTATTATTAAACGGCTGTGATAGGAATCGCGCGCGGTATACGTATTTGAGAACTACTGCCGCATACCTTCAGTAGTAAGGACGATTACTTTGGGAGAATTGCTTATTCCCAGAATGACAATACGCTCAATCCAAGCATCAGTCTTGAAATGAGTGGCGGGTTTCTCTTTCCTACACACACACACACACAAAAAATAAATAAATCATTAAAAAAACACCCAAAATTGAGAGCTTTTACAAAGCAAAGAGCTCAAAATGTCTGCTTGAGGGCCTATTTACATGGAGGTGGGGGACCCCAGGTAGCTGAGCTAACATGTGATAAGTTACCCCACTTATCATGTAAATGAGATCAAATTAAAATGAGAGATTTTCTGGACAGGCGGGTTACCCCACCTAAGCGGGTTACCTCACCTACCTAGGGTCCCCACCTCTATGTAAACAGGCCCTAAGTCATTGAAAGAAGTGTTGACAAAGAACCTTAATTAAACAAATAAAAAATAAACAAACATAACAACAGCAAAATGATGTGGCTCGGCTCCTAGAACTGTGTAGGACTAGACTTAAGACTCCCGTTATTTAGGTACAGTTGAACTTCTTAGTCAAACACGACAATGACCAACAGAAAGTCGCAAGTCCACGGGAGTGAGAACGACTGGTTCTTCTCTAAACTCCCGCATGTAAAGCCTTAAGAGGATGTATTCGTGACTAGTTTAAATGAGAAATAAATAAAGAAGAAAGTTATAAAGCTACTAACAAGAAATTCCACATAGATGCTAAAATCCCTGATTCTTCAGAAGGAGGCTGAAGGGGGATTGGTTTGGATACATTCCTAAAGGCGAAGCGAAAAACATCCTTGTCTTAAACGCCAGGTGTTAACTCACTTGGCATTATACAAAAATGAGTCGTCTATAGTAACAGTACGAAAAGGTCGAACAACAATGAAAGTTTAACATTGTCAACGCTCAAATATGTCCGAGAATGTGGTCTTATTAAGTGAGCCAATGAAAGTTTGTTATTGGAGAGGGATACGAAAGCTGGCAATGTGCGCGCAGTCGTTCGCCAGCGGTTTTCTGTTTCACTCCACTCTGTGTTACCGCAATTTCCTTAAAGACTAAACCCTTTGTTTAATAGGAACGAATGACAAAATACTGGATACTGGTCTGAAGAAGGTTAGAGATCTAGAAAGTTGTATGAGTCTGTTTTGATTCTGTCGTCTTCTAGACGCCGACCGTAACTAAGAAGTAATGTATAACAAGAACAAAAGTAAAAAATGATCTTACTTTGCGATCAGTCGCCCGCCACGGAATGTGAACTTCATGTAAACGTACGCGCCGTTCTTGTAATCAAATGTGTGACCATCGTCAACATAGATGTTTCCCTCGGCTTCAGCCTGGAAGGAAAGAAATCTTTATTAAAGGAAAGATCAATAATTTAAAGCTAATCTTACGATAAACCCCGAGTGTCATGGGCGTACTTGACGCCGCGGTAACGACTGGCTGTGCTGGTGTTTATGGTTGGTTGCTTTCTATTTCCGGTTGGAGTGGCAGAAAGGAATAAAAACGGGAATTGGAGATTCTGAGGTTTCACGTTCTGTTTCACGTTCGGGGGATGAAATTCGACCCAGGTTCTTACGCAATCTCAAAATAACCAATAGAAGAATCCACAGTGTTACATAAAACATTCCCGTAGTCAGGTCCAGTCTCACGCGCCACATGGAGTGAAAAAGAGGCTGCGTCCCACAAAAAAGTCCCAGAGTGCTACTTGAAGCGACGGCACTCTCGCCCCCTTTCCAGGACTCGCTATAACGCTAAGTGGTCTACAGTGGACCCTCGATATAACGAATATTTACATAACGAAGTCCTCGGTATAACGAATGATATCTTTCGCCCCAGAAATACTACAATATATGGAAAAATCCTCGATACAACGAAACCTGTTTTTAGCGAGCATATTTTCCCAGTCCCTTAAGCCTTCGTTATATCGAGGTTCCATTGTTGAACATAGTTCCGAAGAAAATAGTCTTGCGCAGAAGTCGGTATTGGTGGTCAAGCAAAAACGAATGTAACCTGAACTTCGCAACATAATACAAGGAGCCTTCTATCTTACTTTAGAGTTCAAAGCCAGGGTGAGCGTGTAAGGATCCTTATGCATCAGAGCACTGCACCGACGAACACGTTGCTTTGTTGGAATGATGCTTCCTCCACGCTGGAACAATGGAATCTGAAACAACACAAGAGGTTTCAGTACCCGTTCTCCTTCCTAATCCGGTATCCTGGGCTTTGGAATCCGGGCCCCGGTTTCTGAAAGGCCGATTAGCGCTATTAAATCCAGAATTAAAAATTTTGTTCCACTTTTTGTAATTTACCTTCCTATGTATTGCTTAGAGTAACATTCTATGTAATCATCACTGGATCTCGGAGGAAAGACACAACAGTATGTTGTAAGCTCGAGTGACATGTCCTTAGACAAGAAAACCTTGCTT